AAAATAGGATAAAGAATTCTATACTTCTCATGTTTGCACATAAGTCCAAAAATCCCACCATATACAACCTTGAAGCAGGACAGTTCCACAATATTCCTTTTCCTGTCTCTTGCTTTCATTCACCACAGGGTTTCACTATATAGTTTAGGCTGGTGTTCAACTCACTATGCAGCCCAAGATGGCCTCAAACTTGTGACACTCCTCCCTCAGCCTTTCAAGTATAGGGATTACAGGCATGGGCCACCATGTCTGGCTAAATTAATTTCATTTTTAATAAAACTGTCTTATAACGACTGGCCTCAAATCCATGTTCTAAATGCAAATTATGTAATTCTATGAAGTTTTTTTTTGCCATTTGTAAAAATTGCATTAAATACTTCAAAAGGCACTACTACATATGCTTCACTTAAACAACTGTTTACTCACTTAACAGCAATGGCTATAAAAAAGGAATAAACAAGGTGAGTGCGATGGCACACACCAGTAATCCCCGCACTCTGGGAGGCTGAAGCAGGAGGACTGCAAGCTCAAGCCCAACCTGGACAATTAGGCAGCTTAAGGAGATCAAGTCCCAAAATAAAAAATAGAAAGGATGAGGAAAATAGCTTAGTATGAAGGCCCTAGGTTCAACATTCAGTACCACAAATAAATAATACAGTAAGTCTTTGGAAATAGACAGTGGATAAGTAAAGGAGAAAGATTTTTCTGTTATTTATCTTTTATATGAAAACATTTTAAAGCAAACACATTTTACCTGTTCAATATTAAAATTAGTAATTGTTACGGTAAGTATATCAACAACAGTTGTATGAATCTCAGCTGTAAGAATCTCAGCTCTCGAGGAGTTTGTGATTCAGTGGGAAATAAAGATACATAAACTATATTACTATCCTGATGGTGTTATTTGTTCAACTATTACATATATAGTATAAGATAAAAGCTTAAAAAAGTTCATTAAGCTACCAACAAGAGCACACAACAGCATAAAAACAGGAGCCCAATCACTGCAAATTCCTACCCACTTCCAAAGAGTAAGACAACTACTGCCTTTTGTTTTGGGGGCCTGGACACTGATCCCCGGTCCTCACTTGGACACATATGCGCTCCTACTGATCTATACCCTTGCTCTACCCTACAACTAATATCCTTGACCAGGAATAATATACAAGGTGATCAACAAGAAATTTTTTTTAAAAACTCCACTATGGATGAATTTCCTACCTTTGTGTTTTTTAGAATCATGAGGTCTGTGTTATTATTCCGTATTAGAAATTGCAGATGTAACTCAATAGCCATTTCACCGCTTAAAATTTTAATCATTTTCAAAGTCTGGTCCTTGGGCTCTGGACTCTGCTAAAACAAGAATAAAACTTAATATATTATTAAAATGTACTAAGTCAACTTATTTCATCAGCCCTAAAGCCAGTATAACTAAAGCAGGCTATGTACATACAACAAAACTTGTATTTTAATGGTAGGATCCAGAAGATGCTATCATTATTTGAGAACTTTTATTCAGTTTTTCATTAGATGTCACTGAGACAGGACACCAGCTAGATGAAATAACACAATTCATTCCAAATTGAATGTCAATGTAAAATAGCTAGTAATAAAAAAATACTGGTGAAGAATGATTTCTGATGATTTTCAGGAAAATTGTTTTATACACAGAAACTATACAAATGGGAAACTTCCTATGTAAGACTGAGAAGACTGAAAGTGGCTTCAATCAGCACAGAGATGATCTCATGAACTCCACGACACCCAGACACCTCTTCACTCTATCCAGCAACTTGAGCATCAGAAACCAAAGTCCTGATGGAGGAAATGCTGACAAGCAACAGGCTACTGCTCTACAATTTACCTCACCCTTTCATGGGGCCTGAACAGTACAGGGCTAGGGACAGTGCTCAGTGATGGAGCACTTGCCTAGCAAATGTAAGGCCTTGGATTTAATCTCAAACTCCATGAAAGAAAGAAAAAAAAGAGCAAGAAAGACAATCACTGCTATGTGGTAAAACGCTATTTGTGAAATGCCACTCCCCACATCCCCGCACTGGGATTAAATACAGGGCCTTCGCATCCCCATTCCCTCCTATCATATCTTGAGAGAGGGTTTCACTAAATAGAAAAATTTCCCAGGCTAGGCTCAACTGCAATACTCTTGCCTCAGGCCTTCAGAGCACTGGATTGTGAGGATGCGCCATCACACCCAAAAATGCCAGGCCTTTTTCTCCTCACTTCCTGAAGGTTGGAAGTTTTGCTGGACAGAGATCATTCTGCAGTACAGATCGCAGAATTTTATTTCTTCTAAGTGTTAAGTTGTATCAATCCTTAAAACTATCTTCTACTGAAAATCCAGTTTTGTAAAATCACTGATATTAAAATTTATAAATTTTCTGAAAAGCCAGTATGCATCACTTAATTAAAAGAACAAGGGCTGGAGAGATAGCTCAGCAGACTAAGCACATGCTTAGGCAAGCACAGGGATTGGGGATTGATCCCCAGCACCACACTGGCCATCCTGGGGCTTGCTGAGCACCCAAGACCAGGTGTGGTGGCACACCCCTGTAATTACAGTACTGGGGAGGCTGAAAACAGGAGGATCACTACAAGAGTCTCAGCTGCATAGTGAGACCCTGTACCAAATACATAAAAATTAAAAGAAAAAAAATTAAAATAGAACATACAATACACCACAGGAATACATGAGTTTTTTTGTGGGGAGGGGGGGGAGGAAGGTTCATACTAGGAACTGAATTCAGAACCTTGCTTCTTCCACGCAGGTGGTGTCACTGAGCTCTATCCCACCAAGGACACATGTTAAATGGCACTATAACTGCATAAATATACTCACCACATCTGGTGTCTTTCCAGCAAGTGTACGGCCTGTCTTGTCTTCTGTCTCCATCATCTCACTAAGTGAAGAGAATTAACAATCAGTAACCCAACAGCCTGCCTTGGAATAGAATGTGCAGGCAATTTGTTTATGCCTCAGATCTGACACATGTCCAAATTAAGCATTTCCCAAGAAAAAAAATGATAATGTCATGAGTATTACAGAGAAAGAAGAGATTCTAGGTGCCTCTGAGCCAGAGGAAGCCTAGGTGTTGAACTTCCCCCAGACGAATACATAAAAATACACAAAGCAACTAGGTCAGTGAAATCCATGAACAAGTGCAACAAAAACAGGTGACAACATATTCCTCCCCATTCTCAAAACAGGTAGAGATGAACCAACAACCAGCTCCAAAACTAATATATATTTTGTTTTGTTTCTATACTGAGACTGAACTCAGGGCCTTTGCACTGAGCTTCATCCCTGGCCCTTTTTATTTTTCATTTTGGATGCGATGCTCTGTAAGTGCCCAGTTTGATCCTTCTGCCTCAACCTTCCAGAGTGCTGGGATTACAGCCTGTACCAACACAACCAGCTTAAAACTAGTTTTAAGCAAAACATCTGTAACCTTAACAACTCTTAAAATTATTATTATTATTTATTTACTTTTTTGTTTTTGCTGGAACCAGGGATTGAACTCAGGCCCTTGTGCTTGCCAGGCAAGTGCATATTCTGCTGAGCTATCTCCCTGGCCCCATCAAGTCTTAAAATTAAACAGCCCCAAAACACTCCCTTCTTGGCCAAAGTATCACCCTGAAGAAAAAATGCTAAGCAGAGAAAGGAAAAATAAGCCATGATTTTAATATATCCCAACTGTAACACAAGAGAATTAGTATTACTATTATATTATTAATTTGGTTCAGGGTCTCTACGCAGCTTGGACTTACAGGGATTCTCCTGTATTCAGCCTCCCCAGTACTAGGGTTACAGGCGTGCGCCACCACACTCAGTGTCTCGATGGCTAGCTCAGTGCACCTGGGGGCAGGACTAGCACCTGTGCACTACATTGTGCTGGGTATTGAAAAGTCCCTGTGCTTGCCTAAGTATGCGCTTAGTCCACTGAGCTATCTCGCTGGCTGGGGAATTACTTTTTTGAAACAGGGTCTTGCTATGTACTTCAGGCTGATCTTTAACTATGTAGGCCAGGCTGGCCTTGAACTCTCTCGGTGATTCTCCTGCCTCAGCCTCCCAAGTACATACACCACCACACCTAGTGAGATAAAGTTTTGTTTTGTGAGAATCTCACTATGTAGTGTAGGCTGGCCTTGAACTCCCTTATGTTATGTAGCTCAGGCTGGACACAAACTTAGAGCATTCTTTCTGTCTCACCCTCTCAGGAGTGCTGGGTTGGCAGGTGTGCAACAACATACCTGTCACAAGACAAAATTTTAGAAAGCAGCAAAATTAGAAAAACTACCATAAGTAGCCTCCTCTGTAGGTTTAAAATCCCACAGATTGTTAAGAAAAAATTTGAAAATAAAACATTAAGAAAATGATACAAGGTAAAGAAATACACTAAATGCCATCCCTTAAAACTGGGAGGAAAATAAGGATGTTCAGTCTTACCACTTTTATCATATAATGTAGTGGAAGTCCTAGCCAATACAGAAAAAGAGAAATTAGATAGAAAACATAAAATGGTCTTTATTTATAGATAACCACATTCCTATGTAGAAAATTCTATAAAAGGAACTTTTTGATTTTTTTTTTAAATAACAAACATTTTTATTTTTTTCACACATTCTAAAACATGAATATTCTGCAATGTAGTCAGTCTTTATTCCCAGGTAACTTCTTCATTAGGCCCCGACTCACTTTTATATAGCATACTCTTATTCCAGAAGGCAGTTAGTTTTTCATCATTCTTTCTGTCCAGATAACATCCAAAGACAAATCCCAAAGGGACAAATATATGTACCCAGTGGTCACGCACTATCTGAACTATGTTCACCATGATTGCTGTGGCCTGAGGGCCAACAACTCCATGACCAAGGACAGCTGTGAGCCTCTTTTTGATTTTTTGAGACAGGCTCTTGCTATGTAGTTCAGGTTGGTCCTGAACTTACTATTTAGCCCAGGCTGGCCTTGAACTCGAAGCAATTCTCCTGCCTCAACCTCCCCAATTGCTGGGATCACAGGCATGGGCGACCATGCCTGGCCACCATGCCTGGTATAAAAGGAACTAGTTTTTAAATTTACTACAACTAAAAAGTGGTTTAGCAAGATTAAAGGATTCAGTGCGTGTGTGTGTGTGTGTGTGTGTGTATGTGTGTATGTGTGTATGTTTGTGGAACCAGGGATTGAACTCAGGCCCTTGTGCTTGCCAGGGAAGTGCTTATTCCACTGAGCCATCTCCCCGACCCCTCAGTGTTGACAAGAAAAAGAACTGTACATCCATGATGCAGTGACACCAAAATTGGAAACAGAAATCTAAAAAGAGCACTAACTATAGCATAAGAAAACAGAACATACTAGGAATCTAAGGGATTTAGAGATGTGTAAGAAATCTGTACTCACGCTATAAAATGTTACTGAGAAAAATTAAATACCAAAATAAACGAAGAAAAACACTGTTTATAGATAACAGGTTCAGTATCATCAGAATCTCAATGTGCCCCAAACTGAAGATATTCAACACAATTCCGGTCAGAATTTCCAAAGATTTACAGAAACCCAAAATATCTCCAGTTGTGGTGGTATACACCTGTAATCCCAACACTTGGTGAGGCAAGAGGATTGGTGTGAGTTCCAATAAGCAAGTAGAAAATCCATACATCCACAAAAATCTTGTGGAAAGTCAAAGTTGTGTTTCTGGGGATGGGACTCAGTGTTGGAGTGTTTGGCTACCACCATAATGGTAAACCTTTTAGAGCTTTCAATGACAGAAATAGCCCACCACAGTGCACATGCCACAGCTTTGTCAGCACTGGCCTAACATGTGCAAGAATCCCCAGCGCTGTGAAAGTAAAAGAGACAGACACACATGTGTATGCACACACAGAGACTATTATCTGATTTTACAATTTACCATAAACTTTCATAATTAAAAACAAGTAGTACAAACAACAACAACAAAAAATAGATCAATGGAAAGACCAGGAAAAATATTAACAACACACATACGTATATATGAACTGTTTTTTGTCAAGAGACTCCAGGGCAACTCAGCAGCAGAAGTCTTTTCAACAAATAGTGATGAAACAATTAAGACTCATATGGAAAAAGAAATAGAACCTATATTCCCACTTCACATACATACAGTATAGAGGTGAACTGAGATCTATCATAGACCTAAATATAAAGACCTAAATATAATTTCTAGAAAAAAGCCTAACAAAATATATCTGCAGCCATTAAGCTGCCAAAGTTATTTCCTTTGTGGAACCAAAATGAAATGTTGGATTCCCCAAAAATGACTTGTGCTCACAAGTCAATGATCAGGAAAATATTCATTACACACAAATCTGACAAGTGACTAAAAATCACAATTAAGTCACCACTTTACATCACTGGAAGGAGTAACACTCAACAGACTGATATCAAATGCTGTAAAGATGTAAAACTAGAATGTTCAGACACTGCTGGCAGAAAGGTAAAATGCTATAATCATGTTGGAAAAACATGGCAGTGTTTTTCAAGTTGAACATATACCCTGTATTTTGCTATTCTACTTTCCCAGTATTCAGCCAAGACCAAAAACATGTCTACAAAAAGCCTTGTATAGGACTGTTCACAACAGCCTTGTTTTTAACAGCCAGAAATAACTCAAATGTCCCAAGGCAGAATGGATAAACAAGCTGTGTTATACTCACAAACAAAAAAAATGCTACTTAGCAATGAAAAGGTTTAGTTACAAAATCACCCCAAAGCATAGCAGATCACATGGGTATTATCTAGAATGGCAAAAAAAAAAAAAAAAAAGGAAAATCAAAATAATACATACTATAGGAGCCCCTTTCTCTTTCTCTTTCCCCTTCCCCTTCCTCTTTCCGCTGGCTGAGCCCACCCAGGTGGTGAGGCAGGTGTGGCATGTGGTGTCAGGGATCGAACTGCAGTCCCTGAGTGCTTTGCTTAAGCTTACCTAAGCAGGCACTTTAGACTGCTGAGCTATCTCGCTGGCCCATGGAGCCCATTTTTATGATTTCTAAGAACTTGCAAAACTAACCTATAGTGACAGAAATCACAATCAAGAATAATGTCCTTGGGGGCAAGAACTTAAAGAGAGGTTAGTCACATGTGTTTTACTATCAATGAATTGAAAACTTAAGCTAACTACTTTTTTTTTTGTCTTTTTGAGACAAGGTCTCATTATGCAGTTCAGGCTGGCCTTGAGTTCACTTTGTAGCCCAGGCTGGTCTAAAACTTGCAACAATATGCCTGCCTCAGTCCCCCACAAGTGCTGGGCTTATAGGCTTGTACCACCATGCCCGACTTTGCGTACTTTAAACTGTTACCAGAAGAAAAGGAATTGAAGCAGAAAAGAATTCAAAAGAAAGTAACAACACAGATGAAGAGAAAATGGGCACCGCACGCCTATGACAGAAGGTTCCCAATGAAGAATAAAAACAAAGCAAGGGAACAAAACAAATAATAAAAAGTGACTTCAAGAAAACCAGCTGCCAGGAATATATTTAGTAATTCTGAGGAGTAGCAAGAAGGCCAGAGGGGTCTAGAGGTTATGAGGAAGAAGACACAAACTGAGGGCACAGGGATGGGGGAGATGGCTCAGCAGAATAAATGCTTCCCTGGCAAGTGCAAGGACCTGAGTCCAATCCCTGGTTCCACAAAAAAACCCAAAAAAACAAAAACAAAAAAACCTGAGGGCACAGAGAGACCAGACCAGCATAGCTCTCCAATCTGCAGATGCTCAAATCACATACAAATGACATGATGACTGCCCATAACCAAAGCACACCTTCTTCCCATGTACTTTAAATCAGATGACTCATAATGCCTATTACATGCAAATGTCATACAAGCAGCTGTTCTAGTACACTGTCTAGGGTTAAGAGGCACCCGCACATATTAGGTAGATATACTCCACCCCAATTATTTTCAACCCTTAGTTGGTTAAACTTGTAGATGCAGAACCTTTGGATAAAGACAACTGTCTAGCCTTGCAAACCATAGATTTTGAATTTTATTTGGAAGGTATTATAGATTTAGAGAGCTCTAATATGTAAGTTCCAAAAAAAAAAAAAAATGAATTTCATTGCTATGTGGCCAACTTTGGAAGCAAAATAGCTGTAACTAAGACATAAACATTTTGAATAAATGGTCTAAATGCATAAGGAAACACAGGAAAATAAAATCTGATACTGCATTCATCTGAGAAATTCAGGGGGCCTGCCCCTTAGCTCAGTTCATTAAATGGCTGCTTCAACAAAGCAGTCAGGCTCAGGTTGCTGTGGTTCGATCCCCACAACTCCAGCCAGCCAAACCTGCCCTGAAGGCATTTGGAGCAAAAAAAAAAAATCCCCAAAAAACCTTCATCTGAGAAATTCAGGTATTTAATTCCACGAGAAGTGCAAAAGCCTGAAAATATTTCTTCCCTTCTAATTAGCCCAGATATGTCTGAGGAATATCTTAAGTTAAAACCATCCTATTTCAGTAACTATCACTCATGCTTCCTGGTAGACTTCACCACTAGACAAGCCCTCTATTTCTTCTCAGGTTTGGTTCTCCTTTCTGTGCCAGTATAGTGCAAAAAAGAATACCAGCCTGTTAGTGGCTGAATTTATTTTGAGAATATGCTACTTATGAACAGTATAACTAGTCCCAAAATAAAATACAGATTGTTCAGTTATGGTGCAGAAAAGGTAACTCATACCTGTCTTTCTCAGAACCTGGAACAGTGCCTGTGTTGGTGGAGCCAGGCACAGAGGCAATGGGGGTGCCCACAGTTCCAAGATTCTGGGTCACAGAGGAGAGAAACTGTTGGCTGGCACTTTCATACAAATCAAAGAAGATCTGATAGGCCATGAGGAGGTTGTCTTCCTTCACCAGTTTTTCTAAGATGTCACTCACAGCTTGAGGATCATCTAAGAATATTAAACACTGAAACAGAGATAAAGAATAAGCACACAATAGGTGAAGGCTGTATCTGCAGGGTATCTGTACCAAAAGTCATCAACAGACACAAGCACAGGCAAACTGGGGCAGAATATCAAGCCAGCATTCTACTCTTAGGTCCAACTCTAGATACAGTTTTCTGAACAAATGGCATCTGTTTGCCATCAAAAAAATTCCATACAAATTATATTTCTAGGTCTTACTGTTTCACCTGTTACTTAGTACTCAATACTGGTTGTGATGAATATCAGCGTCTTTACATCTTATTTATAACTTACATTCAGGTGTTCTTTAATTTGTATGTTCTGCATTAGTCTAGCTTGAAGGAATCATTCACTTAACACATTATATTGTGGCGTGTCAGGACAAAAGGGATCAAATTTATCACCATTTCTCTTACTACTTTTATGATCTCTCACATGTATCAGCTAAATTATTCAACAAATTAGGATTTTTCTGTTAAGAACTCAATTTAAATATGGAGGCGGATTATGTACCTGGGAATGAACCCAGGGTCACTGAGCTAAATTCCCAGCTCTTTATATTTTCAGACAAGAGTTTCCCTAAATTGCCTTGGCTGGTCTCAAACTTATAATCTACCTGTGGTAAAAGTCCAAGAGTAGCTGGGATTACAGGTGTCCAACACTAAACCCAGTTCTATGGTTCTTTTTGGCTTTTAAATCATGTGGATGTACTCCCTTTAAAAAGATAACTTCAAAACCAACATTTTAAAAATGATAGAAGGACAAGGAATAAAATAGCAACAAGATAACAAAATTGTGGGCCGGTAATGTAGTTCAGCAGTATAGTACCTGCTTAGTAAGCAAAAGGTCATGAATTTGATTCCCGGTACAAAAAAAAA